ACTATAGTAGATTGCTTCGCTTCTCTCATAACTAGAGTAGGTTTCCTCGCTCCTTTCATAGCTATAGTCCTCGCTCCTCTCATAGCTATAGTAGATTTCCTCGCTCCTCTCAAAACTATAGTAGATTTCCTCTCTCCTTTCATAACTATAGTAGATTGCCTCGCTCCTCTCGTAACTGTAGTAGATTGCCTCGCTCCTCTCATAGCTATAGTAGATTTCCTCGTTCCGCTCATAGCTATAGTAGGTATCCTCACTCCTCTCATAACTAAAGTAGATTGCCTCGCTCCTCTCATAACTAGAGTAGGTTTCCTCGCTACTCTCATAGCTATAGTAGGTTTCTTCGCTCCTTTCATAACTATAGTAGATTTCCTCGTTCCTCTCATAACAAGAGTAGCTTTCCTCTCTCCTCTCATAACTATAGTAGGTTGCCTCGCTCCTCTCATAACTAGAGTAGCTTTCCTCGCTCCTCTCATAACTACAGAAGAATTCCTCGCTCCTCTCATAACTATACAAGGTTTCCTCGCTCCTCTCATTACTATAGTAGGTTTCCTCGCTCCTCTAATAACTACAGAAGGTTTCCCCGCTCCTCTCATAACTATAGTAGATTGCCTCGCTCCTCTCATAACTATAATAGGTTTCCTCGCTCCTCTCATAACTATAGTAGATTTCCTCGTTCCTCTCATAACAAGAGTAGCTTTCCTCGCTCCTCTCATAACTATAGTAGGTTTCCTCGCTCCTCTCATAACTATAGTAGATTGACTCGCTCCTCTCATAACTATAATAGGTTTCCTCGCTCCGCTCATAACTATAGTAGATTTCCTCGCTCCTCTCATAACTAGAGTAGGTCCCCCCGCTCCTCTCATAACTATAGTAGATTTCCTCGCTCCTCTCATAACTATAGTAAGTTTCTTCACTCTAACCGTAACCTCACATTAACCATATTGTAGCTACTAAATATTTATCAGTGTCCTCACTTCTTTCATAACTCGTGTAAAGGTCAACATTTGGCCCCCACTTTGATTTCTTTTATTCTTTTGCCATTTGTAGATAAATAAAAGTGATCAATAACTGCATAAATAGTGTATAAAATTACTGTTGTTTTGATACTAAATATGTCACACTGGTAAACATGAAGAAAGCGTAGTGAAACTTTTAATTAGAAAAACATGCAAAATGTTTACAAAATTTGAAATATAACCATCATTGTCAACTTGCCTATATAAAGTTACAACGGTAGCCTGTATTTTAAACTTTTTTAAAAACTTTCCATATATATATTCTGTCTACAGAATTATTTTTATGTAATATCAAAACCTGTAAAGGACCTTCTTAGCATGCCTAACATGATCAAAGGCCGATTTCACATAATCATAGAGATTTAATTATCAATGTTCATTCTGGTAAATACCAATACATATTCTGTTTCTATATCGTACCAAAGCATTTTATTATATTATGCATGTCTTAAAGTTATGTGCAGCAGTAATAACTCATGAATATGTATTCTGCCAAAGTAATCTTTCCTCTGAAGAACTACTTAAGTTTGAGATTATATAAAAACATAATAAAATAATCTTAATAGTAAAACTTTTATACACTTAAGTTTACCCCAGCAACGAAATTAGGGGGTATACTGGAATCAGCGTGTCTGTCTGTCTGTAGGGAGAGAAATTGTCCGGAAAACCCCTTCTAAAGTAAAGGACCAATTTCAATCAATTTTCTCATTAGTAATGAAATTTCACATACTTTTCTGCTTTAATCTTCAATAAAAAGAACAATTCTTTCTTGAAATAGAGTAATATTCGGTATCAAAATAACAGTTGGAATATGTTGCACACGATGATGAAATAATGTTATCGTAATTGTGTCATTTATATGCTCTAAGAGGAATTTTGTTACCGCACCTTTAACATCCACACAGGTGTCAGTCAATGAGGTCCCATTTGTCATAAAAAAAAAATCTGAAACTAACTGTTCCTGATTTAAGCTTCCTATACCTATACCTTTTTGGATTTATCTTGTTTTGAAATTCCAAGCGGGGCTGACGCTAATGTTAAATCTCCATTAATATTAATCACTCCATAGATATCGTATTATTCTTCCATAACTACTGTATGTTTCCTCAATTTTCTTATGAATACTGTAATAACAGGCAATGGAATTCAAGTAACACATTGAAACATATCGTGACGTCATAGTAAGATGAACAGAAGTTGTATTTCTATACAAATTCGCTTTGACATAATTAATTAACATTATGGTAAACACTGGTCTTTTAAGTGGTAAGAAATAGGTTATCATGTTAAATTTGATTTTGTTTTTACAATATACACAATAAAAAAAAGATGCCCCGTAAAACATCATGCCTTGTCTAAATCTGGCTTTTAAGTGTCTTTTGTTAGAAAAACAACTTCTTGTTGTCCTAGTTTTATGACTGTTCCATATTTTGTGTTTTTGTAATTAACTTGTTACCAAATACAGAATCTATATCGTCAATATGTTCACGTACTGACATATATCTTATTTAACCGAGCAGTCACAATCATATTTGTCAGCTATTTTTAGCTACCATTAGTCTAAAAACAATAATTGTTGTTACCTTTTGCTTTAACGACATCTGTCTTCAATAGAAGATGTTGGTAGTGATAAGGAGAGTTCAGATTTGGCATTGATAGGTTTCGTTATAGAACCAGTGAATGTTTCTTTAACGGAACAGACATGAGTTGATAAAAAAGTCGATTCATAGTTATGGCCGATAACCGAGCGGAAGATTTAAATGAAAGTAAAAACATGCGTCGGACACTCTAATGATCGGTTTCGGATAATTGTTTTCTGTGTCAGTAGAGGAATTCTTTCAAAGCAATTGAAAAACATCCCGACGGAAAAAAATTAAAAGAAAATAATTGAAAGACAATTCCTTAACTTACAGACTTTGAGGAAAAGTAGAGCAATTACAGTGAGCACCGAGAGAATGTAGGTAATCTAATCAACATTTTAAAGCGTCACTACTGACTCAAAGCAATGGTCCAAAATGATATTTTAATGAATTTATTTATTTATAAGTGAAGAACATGTGAGGACATGCGCAGTGTAAACATGTCACTTTAAGCATATACCTGCAAGGATGTTTTAGTGGTGCTGCACACAAGCACACAGCCAAATTTTATAAATGGATACTTAAAAGGATATTAAAATATCCTAGATATCTGAACATTATTTGATTTCCTGCAAAACGATTAACGTAACGCTATAGCGGTACTGAGACGCACTTATTTGTTCACAATTCCAAGACAGAAGGTACTTTTTTCATCCAATGGTATAAAATAGCATACATCGAGAGCTGATATTATATTTCAGTCAATGACAGACCTGCCAACCGTCAACCCAACAAACCCTTCCAAGTACCGGTTAGTGGCATTCGGGGCGTATCGGATTTCTCTGACTGAGGCTCGGGGAAATTTGGCAGCGTCTCCATAGAGGTTGAATGTCTGGTCGTGATGGATGGAGATAAAGTTAGAGCTAACATAACATCCGGAGCCAATGGCTGGTCCATTGCTTTCTCTTTTCGTACAGACCTGGGTACGATCTTTCTTTAAAGATAATACCAAACAAAGCGTATTTACAGAACATTCCAAGTACGCGAGATACAAGACAATAGGATGTTTAGATAACGTGGTCCTACGCGACTGTATAATGAGTTGGACTGGTATCAATGACATAGTGTACATTTACGGGCATTGTAACTCCATCCATTGACATTATGATAGACTGATATGACTATGTGAATATATGTATGCGGCATTTGCGCATTACCTGCATTTGAAACATACTCTCCGTCTTTTTCTCTTCTTCTTTCGAAAATTGCTGATAAATGTATACCATTTTTGTCGCATATCTTTGCTATGCAAAGTTTGAACGGAAAACCATAACTAAACAATATAATTTATTGCAATGATTTACCAAATATTTAAAATCATTTGTAGAAGAAATAGTTCAAAAGCAATCTCAGAGAGCAGGAATGGTTTCGAACATTTCGTACAATAGAGTATTCATTAAGGTAGTAAGGGGATGAGTCTGGGTCATTGTTCCTTTTACCACTATCAAGCATCTGTTCCGTCAGATGAACAACAGCCAGCGTGCGTGGGCTTTGCTGATTGAAATATGTACTTCTATACCTAGTAATTGACCAAACAGTCCTCATGTATTAAAAATCTATGTTCGGACGTAATTACAGCCTGAGTAACCCCCTGACATTATAGCTGGAAATATGTTAGAGTCAGCTGCGAAGGTATATACCGACAATCCTGGTAAAGTGCTTTAGATGAAGTTGAGCCGTTGGCGCTAATTACTAATGTTTTAACGAGAGCTTGAAGGCACCTACGGCACCTCGCTGTAATAACACGAACACGAGACCAATCTACTCTACTCATACGTCAGGAGAAAATAATACTTTGTTCACTGATTCCCCAAATTTCCTTAAAATTTTAATTGAGTTTTGGTACCATATCGATATTTTCAACATGCGCCGTTGTTCCTTTTTGATGTATTTTTAAACTAGCATGCTCGTAACGTTTGCACTTAATCAACCATTTACGAGTATCAGTGGAAGGAAAAGCCAAAGCAGCATGTACATGTGCTCATACTACTCGCACTGGCACTATTCGCACATCACCCATATCTACGAGGTAACAAAACGTTTTACTGGTTAATAAGAATATAGTATTAGACAAAAAACACGTGCTCATTTAACTACGTCCATGAGAAGTCCTTATTGAATGATAATCGTGGCAACTGGTAGGATCATATAAAATGCAATACCTATCGGCCTTTTTGCCATACTTTTCTTTTCTTCAGCTCTTGGCTCCCAAACTGTAATATGTATAATAAGGTATCGCCTGTGTAAAATATGTTAAATATTAATCGTTTAACGCTTAATTTAAGTGAAATATGCTAAAATCAAATGAGAAAAGGGTTCTTAAAACTGTACCTGTATATTATAGCTGTACCGGTACGAGCTTCGGGGCTACTCGGAAGAGGACAAGACCTGCTGCAACGGTACGCTGGCCTTTGCCACAAACATGACGCACCTGCCGTGTTCCAATATGCGTTGCTGTGACCGGGCGGAGATGGTCGCCGTAGTACCAGTCAACTATGCCCTCGGCTTCGGCTTCCGGTGTTTGGTACGTAATGGGGGGTTTAAATATTCAAAAACAATACTACTAATCTTATACTTCAAACATTGTTTATCATTATCTAGGCAATAAATTCAGAGAGTATTTCCTAACGATTTTTTTCTAAAGAAAATCCGGATTATTCTGTATTTTATACCAGAACACAAACGGTCTTTTAAACTTCAGACTTAAACTCATGATATTATTCCGAAATATGGTAATCTGTGTGTAAGGACTGCGTGTATGCTTCTTAAAGTGTCTTGGATACAGTACAGTAACATCAGATAACTCACTGTATACATATCGTAGTATAAAGTGTCTTGGAAACAGTACAGCAACATTAGATAACTCACTGTATACATATCGTAGTATAAAGTGTCTTGGAAACAGTACAGCAACATTAGATAACTCACTGTATACATATCGTAGTATAAAGTGTCTTGGAAACAGTACAGCAACATTAGATAACTCACTGTATACATATCGTAGTATAAAGTGTCTTGGATACAGTACAGCAACATTAGATAACTCACTGTATACATATCGTAGTATAAAGTGTCTTGGATACAGTACAGCAACATTAGATAACTCACTGTATACATATCGTAGTATAAAGTGTCTTGGATACAGTACAGTAACATTAGATAACTCACTGTATACATATCGTAGTATAAAGTGTCTTGGATACAGTACAGTAACATTAGATAACTCACTGTATACATATCGTAGTATAAAGTGTCTTGGATACAGTACAGTAACATTAGATAACTCACTGTATACATATCGTAGTATAAAGTGTCTTGGATACAGTACAGTAACATTAGATAACTCACTGTATACATATCGTAGTATAAAGTGTCTTGGATACAGTACAGTAACATTAGATAACTCACTGTATACATATCGTAGTATAAAGTGTCTTGGATACAGTACAGTAACATTAGATAACTCACTGTATACATATCGTAGTATAAAGTGTCTTGGATACAGTACAGTAACATTAGATAACTCACTGTATACATATCGTAGTATAAAGTGTCTTGGATACAGTACAGTAACATTAGATAACTCACTGTATACATATCGTAGTATAAAGTGTCTTGGATACAGTACAGTAACATTAGATAACTCACTGTATACATATCGTAGTATAAAGTGTCTTGGATACAGTACAGTAACATTAGATAACTCACTGTATACATATCGTAGTATAAAGTGTCTTGGATACAGTACAGTAACATTAGATAACTCACTGTATACATATCGTAGTATAAAGTGTCTTGGATACAGTACAGTAACATTAGATAACTCACTGTATACATATCGTAGTATAAAGTGTCTTGGATACAGTACAGTAACATTAGATAACTCACTGTATACATATCGTAGTATAAAGTGTCTTGGATACAGTACAGTAACATTAGATAACTCACTGTATACATATCGTAGTATAAAGTGTCTTGGATACAGTACAGTAACATTAGATAACTCACTGTATACATATCGTAGTATAAAGTGTCTTGGATACAGTACAGTAACATTAGATAACTCACTGTATACATATCGTAGTATAAAGTGTCTTGGATACAGTACAGTAACATTAGATAACTCACTGTATACATATCGTAGTATAAAGTGTCTTGGATACAGTACAGTAACATTAGATAACTCACTGTATACATATCGTAGTATAAAGTGTCTTGGATACAGTACAGTAACATTAGATAACTCACTGTATACATATCGTAGTATAAAGTGTCTTGGATACAGTACAGTAACATTAGATAACTCACTGTATACATATCGTAGTATAAAGTGTCTTGGATACAGTACAGCAACATTAGATAACTCACTGTATACATATCGTAGTATAAAGTGTCTTGGATACAGTACAGTAACATTAGATAACTCACTGTATACATATCGTAGTATAAAGTGTCTTGGAAGCAGTACAGCGACAATAGATAACTCACTGTATACATATCGTAGTATAAAGTGTCTTGGATACAGTACAGTAACATTAGATAACTAACTGTATACATATCGTAGTATAAAGTGTCTTGGATACAGTACAGTAACATTAGATAACTCACTGTATACATATCGTAGTATAAAGTGTCTTGGATTCAGTACAGTAACATTAGATAACTAACTGTATACATATCGTAGTATAAAGTGTCTTGGATTCAGTACAGTAACATAAGATAACTCACTGTTTACATATCGTAGTGTATAGTGTCTTGGATACAGTACAGTAACATAAGATAACTCACTGTATAAACATCTTAGTATAAAGTGTCATGGAAACAGTACAGCAACATTAGATAACTAACTGTATACATATCGTAGTATAAAGTGTCTTGGATACAGTACAGTAACATTAGATAACTCACTGTATACATATCGTAGTATAAAGTGTCTTGGATACAGCACAGTAACATTAGATAACTCACTGTATACATATCGTAGTATAAAGTGTCTTGGATACAGTACAGTAACATTAGATAACTCACTGTATACATATCGTAGTATAAAGTGTCTTGGATACAGTACAGTAACACAGACAACTTACTGTATGCATATCGTAGTATGCCGATCTTGGGTTCAGTACAGTAACATCAGATAACTCACTTTATACATATCGTAGTATGCCGATCTTGGGTACAGTACAGTAACATTAGATAACTCACTTTATACATATAGTAGTATAAAGTGTCTTGGATACAGTACAGTTACATTAGATAACCCCCTGTATACATATCGTAGTATAAAGTGTCTTGGAAACAGTACAGCAACATTAGATAACTCACTGTATACATACCGTAGTATGCCTATCTTAGATACAGTACAGTAACATTAGATACCTCACTTTATACATATCGTAGTATAAAGTGTCTTGGATACAGCACAGTAACATTAGATAACTCACTGTATACATATCATAGTATAAAGTGTCTTGGAAACAGTACAGCAACATTAGATAACTCACTGTATACATATCGTAGTATGCCTATCTTAGATACAGTACAGTAACATTAGATAACTCACTTTATACATATCGTAGTATAAAGTGTCTTGGATACAGTACAGTAACATCAGAGAACTCACTTTATACATATCGTAGTATGCCTATCTTGGGTACAGTACAGTAACATTAGATAACTCACTTGATACATATCGTAGTATGCCGATCTTTGATACAGTACAGTAACATTTGATAACTCACTTTATACATATAGTAGTATGCTGACTCATTAAGCACAACCATTGATTTTTTGTGTGACGTTTTGATTACTAGTACTAGTATTGTATGTACTTTGTCACCTTCATCAGGCAAATGACCGGTAAAGTTTGAATACACTAATTAAGTATTGTCCAATATGTCGATCCGGTTGTGCTATAAGCGTAAGGACATTCTACATCCTTTAAAATCAAAAGAAACATATTTTGATGTCACTCATATAATTCTAAACAAAAGATAGCATGTATGTAGTGTTTAGATAAACAAGTATGCGACTGTAACGTAATCAATTGTACAATGCATCGTTTCAGACATTTAGTTTGGTGTTGGCTAAGTGTGAGTGGTAGTGTTATACTCGGGACTAAGGATTTTGTGGTGGTTAGGAGCAGTTTACCATTTCAAGATAAAATTTCGTGATTTAGTGTTTATGTAGAAATTCATTTAGCTACAGTTCGGAAATACAGGAATTCTTCAAGTAAACAACTGACGCTAGCACAAAATGAACATGTTAAAGGGCAAAAATTGCCCGTGGCAATATATTAGTTGAGAGAGTTGTGAAAATGGGCAGTTTAGACCAACTGATAAGGTAAATTGCTGTTTTTATTCCAGATATATATCACACATTACGCTTCAACACCAGTTTATCATCTGTGTCTATGAAACACTAACCATTTTATCATCTGTGTCTATTACACACTAACCAGTCTATCATCTGTGTCTATGAAACACTAACCATTTTATCATCTGTGTCTATTTAACACTAACCAGCTTATCATCTGTGTCTATTAAACACTAACCAATTTATCATCTGTGTCTATTAAACACTAACCAGTCTATCATCTGTGTCTATTAAACACTAACCAATTTATCATCTGTGTCTATTAAACACTAACCAGCTTATCATCTATGTCTATTAAACACTAACCAATTTATCATCTGTGTCTATGAAACACTAACCAGTCTATCATCTGTGTCTATTAAACACTAACCAGCTTATCATCTGTGTCTATTAAACACTAACCAGCTTATCATCTGTGTCTATTTAATACTAACCTGTTTATCATCTGTGTCTATTAAACACTAACCAGTTTATCATCTGTGTCTATTAAACACTAACCAGCTTATCATCTGTGTCTATTAAACACTAACTAGTTCCAGAATATGGCTGCGTTGTGGGATGAATTTGCCTTGTTTCTGTAGCGAACAGATGTGTAAAAAAAACATCTCATTTCGGTTCAATGTTTGCATATTAACCGAGTAATATGAAGTGATTTTCATCAAAATAATGTTGATTAATCCCTTTTTACTAAAATTCTCTCGAATGTAATATCTTTGTGCTGTATACTATCGGAAGAGTACTAATTTAAGACAGAACCGAGAGAGAAACCAATTAACTTTCAAGGACGTCTCGTGACGATTACTACTGTGGACAAGAGAAAACCATGGCTATGCCATTTATGAATAATTTGTCGAGTCTCCGTCGTTAGTAGCACAATGTGTTTGATTGAGAGAGATGGACGTGTGTTTCCGAAGCACAGTGTCCATGTGAGGTTTTCGTTACATACAAACACATAGGGAATCTTCTATAATATCTCATTCAGTTAGAATGCATTGTTGTCAGCAATTACTCATAAAAGGGGCAGTTCTTCTGTTGTTCATTTATTATTTCATTTATTCTGTCATTTCTATTTGGAACCTGAAATGAAATCTTTATTTATCCAAGTGAATACAAATCTCGCGTCAATCACCAGTTCGAATATGTATTTTG